AATTTTAAAAGTCTTGCACTTTTCCGGTACATCCTCCAAACATACATATCTACACTGGTGTGCTCTTTTTATAGGATGCTGGCTTAAAAAAAACAATCATTCAATCAATACACATCAATTAAGTGCCAACTATGTGCCAGGTATAATACTAGGAACTGGGTATTCATGCTCATGAATGAAAAGAGGTAGCACAGTGGATAGTCAGGGAGACCTGAATTCAAATCCTGCCTCAGAAACTTACTAGTTGTGTGACTCTGGATAAGCCACTTAAACCTCTGTCTGTCTCAGTTTCCTCATGTATAAAATGAGGATATTAATAGTGCCCACCTCAAAGGGTTGTTGTGAGGATCAAATGAGATAGTATTTGTAAAGCACTTAGCACACAGTGGATGCTATATAAATGTTAGTTATCATTATTATTTTTATTATTATGTGTACATTCTACACAGAAGAGAAAGGGTGCATATTAAAGTATGTGCAGAATAAATATAAAAAGAATGCACATACAGATAAAAAGAGTAGTTAATTACATACAAGACAGGGAAAGAAAGTGTATCATGCAGTAGGTAGTGGTTGAGTTGCGTCTTGTAGGAAAAAAGGGATTCTTAAGGCAGAAGCCTGGGGAGAGGGCATTCCATGAGGCACTGTCATTGCAAAGGTTGAGAGATGGAAAGTCATACATGAAGAATAGAGAGAGGGGAAAATGCTAGTTTGGCTAAATCTGAGTGCAGAAGGGAAGATAATATATAATGTGTTGAAAAAATTGATGGCAGCCAGGTTTTGAAGGGTTTTTAAACCTAATCTTCAGAAATTATATTTTATCCTTGAGACAGGAAGGAGCCACTGGTGTTTATTGAGTATTGGAGTGATATGGTTCAGTTTGTGCTCAAAGAGAATCCCTTTGGCCACTTTGAGAAGGATGAACTGAACTGGTCCATGGATGGGTAGAGGGCCATGAGGCAGGGAGCTCATTGCAATAATTGAGACTCGAGAGGATGAGGGGATGAGCTAAGATGATGGTTGTGTGAGAAGGGAGATCATCAAAGGCAAGAGATGTTGTAATGATAGAAATTGTACAGCTGGCACTTACCAGATGGAGGGATTTTATCCTAGAGGCAATAGAGAGTCATTGAAGATGCTTAAGCATTGCCCAGAATGAGGAGGTAGGGATGCTTGTACCCACGGAAGATTGGTGATCTGTTGAAGTAAATAGGAAATTAATGGGGAAAAGAGTTAAAAAGGAACCCCTAACCTAGCCTCCCTATGTCTAACAAGATTCCCTTGTTGGTATACTATTCTGTTCCTGAGTCTCCCTCATTTTTTGATAATCTACATTTTTCTTTTTTTGAAACTCAGCTAATATTAAAACAGGGGCATTTCATTCTACAAAGAGAAATTAATAAGAGGACTGTGATTTTCTGTCATGTACAATTTCTTTTCTTAAATGTACGTTAAATTTTAAACAGTAGTTACAAAATTATCCTTTTTGGGGCCTCTTCTGAACTTTTTTTTTCTTTTTTTATTCTATGTATTTTGAATGTTTTATTGATTCTCTTAGATCTCTACAGCTATCCACTTCTTTTTTGGTGTCCTGCCAAACAGGAGCCCTTGCTCACAAGTTTACTTTCCATTATCAGATTTTCTTCAATATTTCAGTACTTCTAGGATCTATTGAAAATTGCCAGTCAGTCAGTCAAGAACTTTAATCAAGCTCTTCCTATGTGCCAGGCACTGTGCTAAATGCTGGGGATACAAATACAAGCAGAAAACAAAGGCATCACCTGCCCTCAGGGAGCTTATGCTCTAACACAGGAAGATACTACAGAGAAGGGAGTTGAAAAGGGGAGCTGGGTGACAATACCTGGGATGCTGTAGAGAAAGTCCTGCAATTTGGAGAGGAATGAAACATGTCTGACCTGGCTCAGTGAATAGAGTACTGGACCTGGAGTCAGGAAGACTCTTCTTCCTGAGTTCAAATCTGACCTTAGACACTAGCTGTATGACCCTGGGCAAGTCACTTAGCCCTGGTTGCCTCAATTTTCTCATCTGTAAAATGAGCTGGAGAAGAAGATGGCAAATCATTCCAGTATCTTTGCCAAGAAAACCCCAAATGAAGTCACAAAGAGTCAGACACAACTGAAATGACCAAACAACCACAACAAAGGCCTGGGACCCTTTTTAAATGGAAGTCCTGGGAAGAGACGTCTGGTCGGAGGGAGAAGCCACAGGAGTGAAACTTCCTTCCATTGGCTGGAGGAAGCCTCCAGGATGAAGAGGTTTCTGCATGGTTATTGTTGTTGCTTGTCCTTTGTTCTTAACGAGGACCATGACCTCAGAGAGGTGATACCGTGACATGCGAGTGAACTGGATTTAAGTGAGGCAGGGCTGTGCAAAGTCACCAGCCTCACTTTCTCCTCCATAGCCAGATATAGATCAGGATGACTGGAGATGGTCCAGGATGCAGTGGGGGACCTTGGCCTTTTCAAGCTAAGGTCTTTAACAGGTCTCAGTTTGTCTGAGGCAACGCCCATTCAATGAGTAAGGCTAGGTAGCAAGTGAGGCAGAGAATGGCCTCTTTACCTAGTCAAAAAGAAAAATCAATCTGGGCATGGTAGGAAAAATGCTGAGTGTAGCCTGGAAAGGATTGAGAATCATAATAATGATAACTGACATTTATGTAGTGTTTTAAGTTCTCCAAAGCACTTTATAAATTACTCATTTAAAGACAGTCTACTCTTCATAAATAAGTGACTGGGAAACATGGTTCAGTGGAATAAACACTCGTTTGGAGTCTGAGGGCCTGAGTTCAAATCCTGACTGTGACCTCCTGGAAGTCACTTCTCTCTAGGACTCAGTTTCCTTGTCTGTAAAATGAAGGTCTAGATGACCTCTAAGGTGTCATCTGTTTCTAAATCTGTGATCTTCTGATGGGCCTTCAGGGTTTCTATGACTAAATAGACCTAACCTAGTGGTGATCCTCACTGAACTAAACTGGGTTGGCCCTTGGATGACACACATGGAGTCCATCCATCCTTTAGTTCATCACCGGCTCCATAGCCAAGGCCTTTCCAGCTGGGGAACATCTGCCATAGTTTGATCTGCTGGCATAGTTTCCAAAAGTCCAGGGTCATACCCCTTATCCCATGAGACATCAGAGGAGAAGAGACTTAGAAAGACAAGGGACTTCAGTGACCATCTAATCCAATGTAAGAAAAAAGTTGAGATCGTAGGAAGGGAAATGCCTGGCCTTGGGTCACACGGGTACTATCAGAATCAGGATTTGAACCCAGGGCCACTGCCTCCAGAATTAGACTTCTTTTCACCGGAGGATTAAAATCAGGGGTTTGTTGGAACTGACCCTAATTAGCTAGCTGATTGTTAAATTTTCAGCGTGTGCATTTACACTTTCTCAATTGGCAATGGTTACAAATCAAGGCTGGATTTATTGTTTGGTTGATTGACTAGACTTAAGAAAGTGGTGGAGAAAATGTTAATAATTCAGATTAAACTTAAAAGCACGTCTTACATTTTTGCCCCTGGAGAACTGGTTATAAACATTTACTAGTGCGCCATTGATTAAATTTCATGCTATCCTCCAACTAGCAAGAAAAAATCCAAAGCTAAATAAGTCACCTAATGTATTTGAGTGCCAGTTGCATGCCCAACACTAAGATACTAGATGACCTAGTGGGTCCTTGCCTTCGTGGAGCTTCCACTCTGGTGGGAAAGACAGGACTAAACCCATGAAACAACAGAACACTCTGTACGTCTGGCCCCAATCACATGAGACAGGCTGTAATTGCTGTCAGAGTACGGAGAAGGGGGAGATCCCTCCAACTGCGGCTCTTTGGCCATTTCCAGTAGTTTCCATGTACATTCTCTCTTCGGGAATTGTGTTTCAGCAGAAATCCTTTCACAAAGCATGGGATCAGAAGAGTGTTTCAACTTCCTGGCAGCCCTTCCTGGAGGCTGGATTGGCCCTGCCAGACTTGTGTTTTCTTTGCTTAGGATCTGTCTACCTGATGGGAGGTGAAGGCACAGGAGAGGATGGGGAGTGAGTGAGACACATACACAGCTTGTGTGCCAAGCTCTGCTTTCCTGTGATGACTCAGTTGGAGCCTCTGATTCTGGTCTTCAGTCTTTTGTTGGTGAACTTTTCTCCAGAACTGGAAACGGGCAATAGAGACCCTCTTTCACTGTGGCCGTTGGGTTTATGGAGAGGGCAAGGGAAAAAAGGTCACGGGAACCTAGAGGTTAGAACTGAAAGATCTTCAGGAATCATTCATTCATTTGACACTCGTCCAAGAAATATTTATTAAGTGTTGATGGTGTTTGGAGTACTGGGTTGGGTAGGAGGAGAGATAAGTTTGCTAAGCAATATACTCTGGACTTGGAGTCAGGAAGATCTGACTTCCACTTCACCTTTCTGTGACTGTTTCCTCATTTGTAAAATGGACAACTGACCTCATTGGGCTATTGTGAGGGTCAAGTAAGAAAATGTATGTCAAGCATGCTTATAACATGCTATGTAAAAGTTGAGTATAATTATTGTCATGAGAAACAGCAAAACATAGAGAAGAGAAAGTTAACTTCAGAGTTGGAGGACCTGGGTTCAGGTTCTACCTTTGACACATATTGGTTGTGTGACCATGGACAAATTGTTTAACCCCTCAGTGTTCTGTCAACTTTTTGAGACTATACATTTCTAGAATGCTGGTCAGCATTGGTTATAATTATTATTATTATTGTTATTGTTATTCTCATCCTACCCTAATGGAATTTGTGGTGTGGTGGGGGTAGGGAGCAAGGGAGATTCTCTGGTGAGGAAATCGAGGCCCAGACCAGTTGAGGGTCACTGAGATAGCATATATCCTGCCTAAGTCTCCAGGGCCAAATCCAATGCTCTTTGAAGTCTCCTGGGTTCACTGCTTCCCCACTTAAGCCCCTGAAGGAATGCTTAATTCTCCTCTAATCTTTATGTTCTTTTGTCTCCCTCCCAGGTCTTCTCTCCCAACAGAGATTATCTTGGAGCCAGAGATAAGGAAGGGATCAGGGATCTCCCAAGAAGGAGTCAAGAATCCAGTTTAGGAGCCAGGGAGGTGTCTGGCAGGGAGTGTCTCCGGAGCTGAACAAGGTTGGTTGGAGACAAATTCTGGAAACCTTAGCATATGGCTATGTCTCTTTTCTTGCCTGGGGGCCACAAGGGAGAGATGGCAGTCTCTGCTGTGACTTCACCGTGTCCGGGACACGGGGTGTCTCCCTTTTGCATGCCAAATCAAGCCGAGGATTTGATTCACTGGTTCATTGTTGGGATGGGGACAGGGTTGGAGGAGGTTCCACCTTCTGAGAGCTGGACCTCTTAATGGACCCTGTGATCGGTCTGTCTTAGGATTCTCTTAAAAACTGACTTCTGTCAAGAGCCTTCACTTTCCAGGGAGCAAAGGGTTAGAGAGAATAACGTTCTATTTTGTTTTGGAGAAGGAGCATGTGTAGTATGGTAAATCGTTTGTTGTACTTTGAGTCAGAGTGACCTGGATTCAGATCCTACTGTTGGCCCTTATAGTGACCCTGGACAAAACCCTTAACCTCTCTGAACTTCTTTTTCCTCATTTTCAAAATGGGAATAGTGATCATCCTCGCAGAACCTCCCTCGAACAAGATAATGCCTGGGAAGGTCTAAGCACCGATTTTTAAAATGCTCTATGAAGGCCACTGGTTCTTCTGATGAGAATGGGAGGATATTCTCCCATTGGAGTGTCCATCAGAGGATGGGGGAGTTGGGTTCACCCCATGGGACTTGGATGACTGAGTAAGCTGCCCTCTTCCTCGCGACCTTGGGAACTGAACCTCCCCCCCCCTCCATGTTTGGTCTGTGGTCCCGTCCTGGCAGTACACAGGGGCCCCTTCCTTGTGGGTGATTCTATCAATTCTGTAAAGCTGGTCTGAATTGGTAGGAGTTTCCTATGCCCTGGACATCTCAGGCCTGACAAAAAAACAAATAAATCAGAAATGCAGCAGACACATTTTACCAGGGAGAAATGGCTTGTACACAGATAAGTAAATACCAAAAACAAGATTAAATATAGAGGGGCTTGAGGGCGCTAATGACTGGAAGGAATCAGAAGAGGCCTTGGGTAGAAAATGGCAGCTAGGTGGCGCAGTGGGTAGAGTGGTAGGTCTGGAGTCAGAAAGACCTGAGTTCAAATTCAGCTTCAGATACTTAGCTGTGCGGCTCTGGGCAAGTCACTCAACCCTGTTTGCTTCAGTGTTCTTATCTGCAAAATGAGTCTCATGATTGTTGTTCCATAGGATTGTAGAATTAGAGCTGTACCTCAGAGGTCAACTGGTCTAACCTCCTCATTTAGAAATGAGAATGTGGAGTACTGTGGCTTGATTCCTGGAAAGCCCACCGCAGGGAGTGATTGCTGACTGGTGGTTGCTTTAGTGTTCCAATAGGTACAGGACTGTCTACACTCCACTGCCATCTCACCAGCTGCCCTGGCTTTCCACATCATATCTGCTGCCCTTCCCCTGTCCAGTTCTGGAACTATCAACTTTGTCGCTAGTCCTTTAAAACAGAGGTTTTCAACCTTCAAAAAAATTATTATTTATTTTTAGCATTCTTTTCTTTTTAAATTTTGAGTTCCAAATTCTCTCCCTCTCCCACACTGAGATAGATCCTTAACCTTTTTATGTGTCATGGACTCCTTTAGCAGCCCAGGTTACAAAGTGAGCCCCTCTCAGAATAATGTTTTTAAATGCTTATCGCTAATAATAATAATAGCAATAAAAATGATAGTAATATGACTATTGTTTACCTAGCACTTTAAAGTTTGCAAATCACTTTACAGATATTAGCTAATTTTTATACTCGAAACAACCTCTTGGGAGTAGGTGCTATTATTAGTCCTATTTTACAGATGAATAAACTGAGGCACAGAAAGGCTAAGTGACTTGTCCAGAGTCATCCAACTATGTCAGGATTAGAACTCAGGTCCTACTGATTCCAAACCTAATGCTCTATCCACCGTACCACTTAGATGCTTACGTAGATGTATGAAGGAAACCAATTACATATTGAAATATAGTTACCAAAATATCAAAAACAATCATGGTTCCCAGATTAAGAACTCTTGCTTGAAGAGTGGTTCAGCCTGTTCCTCTACTCACTATCCTGTAAATTTCCAAACTAGAGTACCCTCCCTGGCTGCCACTGTGTTATATTTATTGTCTCCCCCAAGGGAAGGGTTTGTTGTTGATTTCATATTTACATCCCTAGTGCTTAGTGAACGTAATAAGCATGTTTTTCATTCATTCATTTATTCCATCATTCATTCACTCACTCATATATCAATCCATTTGTTTTTTTCCCACTCATTTATTCAGAGAGAAGGGGCTTGCTTAAAGTCACAGATGTAGTATCAGAAGTGGGGTCGTCTGACTCCAAAATCTGTGCTCTTCCTAATGGTACTACATTGATGAGGAAAAAACAAACGCATTTATAAACCTGAAAGCGACCGGTTGCCCTGCGGCTGTTGCCAGGTTAATGGAAGCTGTGCTTTGCTGGCCAGTGTCCTCATCTTCCGAGCTCCTGGGTGTGCCTCTGGGCTCTGGCCAGTGATTTCAGGACCCAGTGGAAGGCTGATGGGAGCACGGGGCTCTCAGCAGGAAACTTGCTGGTAATGCACAGGACACCTGCTGTTTCTCACAATGCCCTCCCAACCGCAGATAAGGCAGGATGCAGACTGGGGCCAGAGCAGACGGCAGACAGGCACGTGTGCTGTAGAGGCCTGCTCTATTTCTGCCTCACAGATAACTGTCTGCATCTCCCAGCAAATGCAAAGGTTTTCACTCCTGTAATCACAATCCCTTTTACAGCATTCGACCTCATCCCCTTGGGAAGCCGCTGAGGTATCCCTGCGTGGAGATGCTGTTGTTTCCCTAATCTGGGAAAGGAGCTGAAGAGAGACCAGGAGAGCTTTACTTTGCCAAAGCATTTGTTCTGGTCTCCTCCTCCCACCCCCGCCCCCCTCCCAGACTGCTAGTTCCTTCCCCCCCTCAAGACTACCTCCCATTTATACTGTGGATCTTGTGGGGACAATTATTTTTGAGTTGTCTCCTCCATTCAAACAGACACTCCCTGAAGTCAGGGGCCATGGTTTTGCCATACATTGTATCCTCAGCATTTAACCCAGTGCCTGGTACATAGGAAGGACTTAATAACTCCATGGCCTTTTTGCAAGAGGTCTTTCTCAGAGTGTCAGGCTGGAAGGCAAAGTGTCCTAGAGGAAAAAAAAAAAAACTCTTGAAATGAAGAAAACCAGAAGGTATAATGGTGCACAGATGTTCCTTCAGGAACCTTGAAGCTTGCAGAGAAACTGAATACTCTGCAGTACCCAGAAAATAGTTAAATACTTTAGATTAAGAAACATGGTATGACTATCAAGCAATGTCTGTGTGTGTGTTTTGTTTCTTTCTTTCGTTTTTGTTTTTTTTTGTCTAGGCAATGGGGATTAAGTGACTTGCCCAGGGTCACACAGCTAGTAAGTGTCAAGTGTCTGAGGCCAGATTTGAACTCAGGTTCTCCAGACTCCAGGGCCGGTGCTCTATCCACTGTGCCACTTAGCTGCCCCTGTTTCCTTCTTGTAAAGACAGTCATAAAGACAGTAATACCATCCTGGTACCTTCATTCCATCGCCCCAACCTTTCAGTTCCTTTTTGGGTATTGTCTTTCCCCGTCAGAATCTTAGCTCTTTGAAGGCAGGGACTGGCTTGTAATCTTTTTGCTTGTTTTTTTTTTTTTTAAATACCCAATGCTTGGCATAGTGCCTGGCACATAGTAATAGATGCTCCCTTCCTTCCTTCCCTCCCTCCTCCCTCCCTCCCTTCCTTCCTTCCTTTCTCTTTTTCTTCTTCCCTTCCTTCCTCTCTTCTTTCCTCCCTTCCTTCCT